AAGTATATGTTATATTTTAGCAATTCATCCCACCACCTAAAAGAGGATGGGGGACTTCTTGCTAACTTGGGTTAAAACCAGAGAAAAATTAATACTTTGTGCAAAATTAGTGTCAGAATATTTTCTCTAATTACCTTTATTTAAGGGCTTTTTGACGGTAAAATACTAACATTTAATTCTAACATTGTAATACAAAATAAATTCTTTAAATGGTGCGAAGGGGGTAATTTATTCTTTGGAGATATTGAAAGTAAAATGATTATTGAGGAATTTATTGGAAAAGGGAGAGTTATTAGCGAGTTTTAGTTTTTTCTTTTATGTATACTATAGCAAATAATATAGAAACTGAAACAACAACTACACCAACTACTAAGAACCAAAATGTTTTACTTTGATAAAATGGCTGCTTTTGTGGAAGCAAAGGGTTAGTTGAGGGATTGTCTTGCGGTTCATCTTTTTTTTCACCTTTTAAAACACTTAAAACCTCATTCCATTCCTCTCATAAATCCCCAAAACCTCATATCCTATGTTTGGGAGTATAATGCTTTCTACCCGATTTATGTTCGATTAGATAACAATCAAAATAAGGGTCTGAATTGGGTGCCTCTTTAAGTTGTCAGTCTTGGGGATTTTGCTTAATTTCTTTAAAAAAACCTTTTGCTATTTCCTCATATTTTTCTCATTTTTCTTCTGGTTCTATCACTTTGTTATTGTTTTCTCCTTCTCCTCAAAAAACTAAATTAAAATGCCCTTCTTTCCCTTTAATACTTCCATTATAACTTCATTTAGATAGGTCTTTTAAAACTTCACTACTTTTAACCATAATTATGCATTATACCAGTAAGAACCTTTTGGAGAAACTTCAATTCTGTCTTCCATTAATATTCCTTGGGGTTGATATGTCTTATAACTATTTATTTCGTTAATTTTACTAGATGGATAACTCCCCAAATATTCTAACCGAGAATTAGTATCATTTAAGTTTTCTTGGATATTAATATTTCGATATTTTTTACCCTCTCTTTTATCGTTTAATTCTGAAACATTCATACCTAGAACACAACGATTAGCAAAATGTTCACAATTATTATTATCTATGTCAAACGAACCCTTTCTATCGTAATAACCTGCTGGGTTTTCTACACACCTAGCAATATGTTCGACAATTTTTCCAGGTTTTTTGAAAGCAACTACTGGATGATATCTAATTATTTTGTGGGGTTTAGCGGCAGAGGGAATAATAACAGTGAGAAAGTCTCTTCAATTATCGATTTTTACTCTATCTCTTCCCAAAACATGTGCTACCTTTTTATTTCCTAAATAAATACAAGTATGCCTCATTCTTTCATTTTTAGTAAAATAGTTTGTTTCACTATCTCCAACAAATAGTTTAACAATATCTAATGGTTTGAAATAAGCATCTGGATTGCCTCATGTATTAAGAACTGAAAACAAATCTATCTCTATTCTCTTTACTACCCCATCTACTCAAACAGAAGGAAAGTCGTCAATTAAGGAATAATCGTTTTCATAGGAAATAACTTGATTGGGTTCAGAAGCAAGGGATGTGTAAAGAATTGGGTTGTCTCCTTTTAGTCTTTGTTCTAATGGATAGATTTTGTTTTTAATTTCTGATAAGTTATAACCCCCATTAACAGAAAAGAGTTCAAATACTTCTTCCATATTATTAGAAGGCATTTCATAAACCAAAAATCTCAACATGTAAAAATTATCACCATCAACTATGATAATAACATTATTGTTTCAATAAGTAGAAAAGAAAACTAGTTGCTGTATTTTTTTTGGAACTTTTTCTCGATTTCTCTCAAATATTTCATTATAATATCAAAGTTTCTTAAAGTCCCGCAGAGCATGTTCGGGGTAGTAGTCTCCTACTCCAAATCTTTTAATTGTTTCCTTTTGATTAAAACTAATATCACCACTGTTATATCAATTCTGTAATGATTTTTTTACCATATTTTTATTACTATTTTCTTTTATTTATTTTTAAAATTGTTTTGCTAACTTTTTAACAGAATTAGTCAACTACTTTCAACATTAGGCAAATTAAGAAGCAGTGAACTTCTTTTATTGTTGTTTTTTTCTCTAACTTCATCTTCCTTACCTCCTTAATTTAATTTTATACATATAAAACATTCCCAACCTCAATTTTATTTCATTTTAGGGAAGATTATCACAAATTAGTTCCGCCAGAGATAAAAGAAAAAGTAAAAACCTATTGAACTAAAAATGTTTCTGAATTGAGAGAATTGGTTTTAGAAAATAAATTGTCTTAGCCATAATGAATAATCTTTTATATAATATCTAATTCTTGTAATTGCTTTCTAGCCTTATCGGCTTGAACATAATCACCCTTGTTCCGCCAATCCTGCCATTTCTTAATGAGTAGTTTAATTTCCGGATTATAAATTGGTAAAGTAAATTTAAACCCTAATAAGTCGAGAATGAAGTAAAAATTATTAATTGTCTCAGAAAAGTTTTCCTTGTCATTCTCTC